GGAGCAAGGACGCTACTAGGAGCAAAGGGCATCGCTACTAGGAGCAAGAACGCTACTAGGAGCAAAGGGCATCGCTACTAGGAGCAAGGACGCTACTAGGAGCAAAGGGCATCGCTACTAGGAGCAAGGACGCTACTAGGAGCAAAGGGCATCGCTACTAGGAGCAAGGAAGCTATTAGGAGCTCCTAGTAGCGTCCTTAAGAGTTGTGCGGGAGTCCAATCCCAACGAAGATGTTCCGGCCGGGGAACTCACTTTGGGATATTCCGTCGATCGGCAAGCTCCTTCTCTGTGATCTCATCATATCTCATCTAGAAATACGATGCATCAGGAATCTTCCTTGTTGCATGGGACCAATCTAATCATAGGAATCCCAGATAGTGATTCATGTCTCAGAACATCTCACAACTATCCAGTTAGATCATCTACGGGATATGTTTGCGAAAAGCCTCAAACATCTCAAACTCAAATGAAACACAAAATACAATCTGATACTGATACTATCTGGATTCCATGCACATTTGTGGTCGCTTTAGGTCCAGCACTCTAAGCCTCCCACCATGGGGGCTTTCAGCACACGCCACAAGCCATCAGAATGCCTGACACAAAGCTGCTAAAAGGATCAACCGCATGGATCCGGCCCAAGCTAGCGAGCTTCCAGTTGGAGAGTTCTGCAGAGTTACAGACACAGGTGCTATTAGGTTGGATGCCATTGCTATTATGCTGGAGGCCATTGTGTCCAGTCAAAAGAAAAGACATGTTCAATTTCACAAACGCCAAAAAGACCTACAAATCCCCGGCTCGGCCGCACCATCAAGATCAAGCTGAGCCATACCGACAAACTCAGACTCTATCTAGGCTGAAGCTTACAGAAAGTCTCCTCTGTGAAGTCGAAACCTTGGAAAGTTGCTTATCTTATGTTCTCTTAAACTAGAGATATCTGAGACCTCCTCCACCCCCCCTATGCTCCCACACCGCTCCAGTGCAGCCAAGGTCGCAAGCGCGACGAAGCACGGAGGCAAAGCAACGGCCAACTTGCGGCCTCTCTGACGAACGCGGAGAAGAAGAAGTGGCGCAGCAGGCAGAGAGCTGGTGGCTTTCTTGGGAGGTGCGCAACTTGGGACGGACATTCAAATTTACATACAGTGCATTCAGGCCAGTCCATGCTATTCTACTGGAATTGAATTGTTCCGTTTATATCACTGTCACTCCTCGTCCTATCAGAAAGGTTCAATCTCATGAAAAACCAGGGACACGTTGCGAGAGATCTGTCGTGCTGTGCTTGGTTGACGCCTGCAGTGTCACCATGGCAGCAGCAAGCGTTGCTAGGAGGACAAACCTGCGGATGGATCTGTTTCGCCCAGTCCAACTGATGATATTATTTCATATTATTTCATATTATCAACTCTGATTGCACTCCTCGGAAATTGTGGATCTCGATTTCGACTGTGGAACAGCCACTGATTCCTCTTTTCGGCCAGCTGAATTGGTTTGTTCGATGCGTTTGACAGGTGTTGAACTCCTTTAAGTCTCAACACTGGAACTGAAACCTCCCTTTCGAGGTAAGATGGATTCATGCTCAGAATTCTCCTTTTGCATCAGATGACCAGCGTGGCTTGCACCAAAAGTTGAAGCAATTCGTGGGGCAACCGTGGTCGAAGGGATTTCGAGTCTTGTCGTAGACAAATGCCTCCTTGTCAAATAATTCATTGTACTCCTCATCGTCCAACTCCTCTACGGGAATGTTGTCCCCAAGGGTCGTGTTGTTGGCCACGTAGTTCTCATTCTTCTTCCACTCCTGTGCCAATTCATTCCGGGAAACGAGGCCCAGGTGGATCCTGCAAATGGGCCAATCGATCGCCAACAGGGCCACTGAGTATGCCAAATGAAGTGCCACAATGATCTCACTCTCCATGAAGCCCTTCTGAGCAATCAAAATTGCAAGCCATAGATCAATGACGAGGCCAAGCACTCCAATCAGCAGCAAACCAAAGAGCATCAAGACAAACTCCCTGTGATTGAGGAGACCAATCACATTGTTCAACCACTTGCAGTAGTGGTCATAGCGGCGAATTGGGCGGGGATACTGCCACGACCTGTGTGCGCGCCTGGGCATCCCCTCTTCAATGTCCATGGCATTGCGGTCTAGGTTTCGAGTCTTCCTCACTTGCCCAGGATCCGCAAAGGAGCACCATGTCATGAAGCCCAGCGTGATCCCATAGAGCACGCAGAAGGCTGCCGAAAGCGCGACCTCATTCGTAGATGTCGCGCGTGACAGCAGTGGAATCTGAAAGAGTAGCATGCAAATGGCACCCGCGACCGTTGAGAGAGCAAGCGCCAACGGCAGCAATGGTTTGAAGTTCACACCCAAAAAGGTCCAGGAGAGGTCTTGGTTCCCTGCCTTGTCCTCTGCATCATCATTCTCATCAGGGCAGCCCTCATCAGCACATGATTCTGTGTCAGCCTTTTGGGTACTGGGCCTTCTGGGAGCCAGAATCGTGGTGGGCGGCAGGCCCCCTTGGCCAACCACCAACGGAACTGAATCGTGAGCACGGCCGGCGGGGTACGTGGGCATTCCAACGTCCCCCATGTGGTAGGCTGTGGGTGGCTGCATTCCTAGTTGTGGCCCATAGCTTCCGTAGGCTGAGAAAGGTCCCGATCGACCGTAGGCATCTCCATAGTTAGTGCTTCGCATCACAGTTTAGCTGTGGATCTACTCACAGATCTCTTGAGGCTTGAGCCAATCAAGAGGCTTGAGCCAATCAAGAGCTGGCAGAGGAACACTAAGCTGCCACATTCTTCTGCTGCAGCTCGAAGATGCTCCACAGAGGTCTGCAAGAGTGCGTTCGAGTCGTCCGTGCCATTCCAACACTTGACTACTTCCAAGCTGAGAAAATCACTCGGGGGCACTGGGGCTGGGACACAATCAGGTTCTTCATATACTCTGAGCTGTTGACGCGACCTGGCGATCCCCAGGGCCAGGCCATGTTGTGGCCTTCCTTTTGAGGTCTTCTTCTCTCAAAGCTGGTTGTGAAGTCTTCCAAGTTAAAGATAGTTAAAGGAGTTTCCTCCAACTGTAACTTTCAAGACTTTCAAACTTCTCACAGAGAGTCATGTTTCTGAGGGAGTTTCAATTCAACGTTCCAAGTTCTCACAGATGTTTCACCATTCAAGACTTCTTCCCCTGCGTGACATGCGGCGTTAAAATGGTGTTGAGTCAGTGAGAGGGCTATAGTGGCGATATGTGGTCATTTCTAAGAATGATAAGAGTCAACCGTTGAAGCCTCTCTGGCTCACCATGGCTCACCTCTCTGGAAAGTCCCAGAGATCCGCCGTCCGCCTCTGTGTCTTTCCTCACTCCACCCACCGGCTCTTGTTGAACAACACTCAAGGGGAGAGGCGTTTGAATTGGCCTCCGCTGATTCAGACATACTTGCCGAACTCCCTCATACCTCAGTTCTTTCCCATGTTTGCCCTTGGCACCTTGTGCCGGGAGTGCCGACCACCGGGCCAGCCAACAATCCTTAAACGCGCACGGTCCGATGACCGGATATGACCGGATGATTGTTGATTGTTGATCCGGTTTTTGGCATGAAGTGGTTATTGCACGAGTGATCCTCCAACGGAAATGTTGCCTTTTCATTCTATTCGGACCCGTCATTCAAGCTTCGTGACCACAGGCACATCCTAGATGACAGTAGTTCGCCGTGTCATCTCTCTTCAAAGCATTTCAAAAGCAAGTTTTGGAGACAAGAAGGTGGTCGAAGTGTGTCTTTTCCGAACGGCCCACCAGGGAAGAAAGGATTCTCGTCCGTCGTCCCATCTCGCCGTTGCCAGAACTCTGAGCGCTTTGGCCACGATCACGATACTTGCTTGTGAGGCAAAAAAGAGGAACAGTGAAAGGGCGAAGATCACCTTGGGCCGCATGAGGACGAAGAACACCATGCAGCGGAGGGATGATCGTGATTCACAAAACATCATAAAACACGTTCTTTTGGAATAGTGGTCAAGGGACAATCCAAACACTCTGAGAAAACTACTCCATGGCTTGGAACACTTGGGTGTTGTTGGAGGATCTCCTTTGACTATCACAGCTTCAAGTGATCCTCTGAAAGAGCTTTCCGCCATTGCAACTTTAGGAAGTGATTGAACGTGGCAGGAAGAAAAAAAAAGCTGTGCTACCTTGATTCCCAAGGTGTTGGTCAATCTTTGATCTCTGGATCTCTCTGCATGGTGTGACCCGTTCGATCCTGGTGTTTTGCTCCCTTCGATCTTCGATCCTGTCCACCGCCGTCGGCACATCCTGGGCACTCCGCGCGCCCTTGGCGCCAAAACGAAGCGCATAGCCATGACACAGCGTGGCGCCTCATGGCTAAGGGCCGCGCGGTGTCGACGAAAAGACCAGGCAGCGGCGTCCGCACAAGCGAATGTGACACCGTTCTCGAAACACCGATTCTTCGGCAGGCGAGTGGAACTACTAGTTGGCCTGCTTGAAATGAAATGGAGGCCGTAAAACGCTTGGCAATGCAGCACCATACATCGCGGACTGAGGAAGCAACGACTCTCTGACCCCAGCTGCACACCTCTCGGACTGTTGATTTCACTGATTTCACATGATTTCACCATATACTGCTTACTCACGTCTCTACATGTCTCTAACGTCTCACACTGCGTGATCAGGCTATTTCCTGCTCATGTGCCCGCTTTCATGCTCCTCCTTCACGCATCGCGGTCGGCATCAAAATCCATGGCCATGTCTGGCCTGTAGCATCAGCAATTGCCTCAACGGGCACAAATACGCCGTTTTCTTTGCTTCAGCAATTCCCCAGCTAGGCCAAAAGCCCCTTCTCCGCTCCGCTTCGCAGACTTTTCACCAGTTATGATGATCACTGTACACCTTGACGTAATCTCCCTGAGATGATCTATACATTTCTATACACTGTACAGGCACGACTGGACGGTGAACCACCCCGGCGCTTCCCATGGCGGCGGCAGCGCGCCCGGACGACCGGTCAGAAAAGAGCGGAGGATCAGACTGCCACGGGAGGGTCCTCTTCTCAGGTCTACACTTGACTGAGATCATGGCATGAAGCCGGAAACCTGGGACTTTCCGTGAACCCTGGTGTGACATCCATCCCCACCGGACCGCGCTTGCGGCGCCGGTCAGCGCCGCGGGCGCTTCACAAAGACGACCCTCCATGAGGCCCGTGATTGCGCCAGGGACTCGTTGAAGAGGGGTAGACCTGTCCATGCAGCACAAGAGAGGGTGCGCAGTGAAGCTGATATTATTCCCGGCCTAAAACCTGGCCCAGCTGGTAGAGCCAGCTTCGCTCTCGAACCAAGAATTGCCCCTGAAGACATATCGAAGCTTTGGGACCGCGTTAACTGCTGTAACCACCCTGTAGTAACAGTAGTCTGTTCCCATCCTGGCCTTTTCCTCCTTTGTCCCCCAAACCATGTGAGCGCGCGCCATCTTCAATCTTCCATTGCCTCTCGCAGGAACCGCGCAGCGCGCAGAACAAACAAGGGATTGTTGACCAAATGGGCTTGTGAGTTGCCGGAGTAGGACAGGAAAAATACTCTTGCTCTATCACAAGATTTCCCCCCCAAGCTTGCATCAGTTAAGTGAGGCCCGGCACTTCCAAGGGTCCAATGTGCTTGAATTAACCTCTTAACCAGTGAACAGGGTCTGGGAGGCACAGTTTCTGCTGTATAAGAGGGGATTTGATGGGTTCAGCAAGTCTAAGCAGGCCATTCTGATGTTCACCCAACGTGTCGCAAGCCAGGACCCGGAGTCGGTCCCGCAGGGCAGATCAAACCCAAAGGGATAGAAGCAAACAACAAGTACAGCAAAACCTCAAGAAAAACTGAGCCAATCTCTGCAAGCGTCATGGCAAAGAGAGTGTCTATCAATGTCTTTGGGCACTGAAATTCTATGATGGTCGTCACTGGCGGTGTCACTTTCTTCTTGCCTGTGAAGTATTTCTTACCTCAGGGTCAGCACATCTTGGATCTAATTCGTCTTAGTGTCATCCATCATGCAACCGCCAAACTAGACACATCAGCAACAACGCCCTTGGGTTTTAGAGAAGATGCCCAAAGAATCCAGGAATCCACTCTCTATGCCGCGATGGCCGAGGCACAATATTCGTATCCCTCTTCACCCACCACAATCGTCTGATACGGTTGTGTGTCTGGAAGGAGTGAGTGTTCATAGAGGAAAGCCGCTTCCGCGTCGGTCATGTGTCCTGGAAAGTCGGGGATGTGTGCAAATGGAAAACAACTCTTGGTGGCCATTTGGCAAGAACGTGAAGCTTCGTAACCTCTGTGGTAAAGGACAATGAAGCAACAGCTGCATGAAGGCAAAAAAGGGTCTCTAAATATACCTCATCCTAGCAAATTGGCATAAATTCGTTCAAGGAAGCTTGAGGGGTTGTATAGAATATGTTGCAAATTGCTTTCCGAGGAACTATACACTGAGACTATTTCCTCCTTTGGAGCAGCATCTGCAGTCTCAGTCGACTCCGATGACGCATCTTGATCACTCTGGACCTGCGCACAACCCCGAAACGGCCGCCCTGGGCGGCCCCACACATTTCTTGGGGGCCGTTGGTCTCTACATATTCTTTACATATTCTTCCGTTTGTCTCTCTCAAGTTCACAGGTTCTTTGACAACAGAAGCGAACGCAGGTGGACGGTTGGGCCATTCCACTTGGGCTGTGCGAGGAGGCCTCACTTGGAAAGTTGGGCGTCAATCAGTGCTGATACTGAGTGGGGGAGCAACCCAGTCTTCAAACATGAATCGAATTGACTCTTGCCAGAGCTACATGAGCTATACAGTATGATTCTTATGTAAAGCACGTGTGAAATTCAGCCAGCTGAGGAATGAATGCGCCATGGTCAATCGCACATCTCCAGTGTGGCTATAACACCAAAAGCCGCCTGTTTCGTCCTGCTTCCCACAGGGGGTGGTGGACATCTGCAATTGTTGAACCCTCCCAACTGCTCACACCCTCCACATTACCGCATCATCCCATATCCACGAATTGAACATCATAGAGCACTTGTGGCCTTCTTTCGAGCGAATCGTTGAACCCTGTGAGTTGGCTCAACTGACTGACGCAGGGCCCAATGGGTTCTTCTTAAAGTCATTGAGGGCCTAGTGGGTTCGCTCAAGACCTGCACCCACACCCGCGAAGGGGTGTCCGGTCAGTGAGGTCCATTCAGCGCTGCCGGTCCGCGCTGCCTGAAAGCCCAGAGTCTTGGCCTCCAAGAGAATGGAGCTGGCGCCCTTGTGTGAGACCTGGAGAAGCAGAAGTGCCGGTCACCAAGACCCATCTCGGACCCTCAGAGTCACAGAAGCTTTTGGAAGGCTCAGAGTCTCGGAGTCAGATGAAACATCATGAAACTCCTCTCTTAAAGAGCAAAATCTATACCGAGTCACCCCTCAAAAGACAAGAAATACAAAACGATATCTGAAATCGCATTCTGGTTCAACTCATGTCGATCTATTGGGCTCCGTTTTTTGCTGATATATTGCCATTTCCGCCTCGACCAGCTCTCCAGAGTCTTTCAGACTTTTCTCATAGGCCAATAGCTTCGCAGCCATGGCAATTGGATGAAGTGCCCGCGCCTTTGTAAGAGTGGCAGCGTCAGGTGACCAATCGAGCTTGGATCTAAACTGCAATCTTGAGCCCGGATGTGAGGTTGGAATCCTCCAAGTGGATCTGGTGCATTAACCTTCAGATCATGAAGATCCTCAAGCCATCTTAGTCTATATTTGCATTCATGATCATTCATGTATCAAGAGAATGGGGCCTTCTTTGGCCACAAGGAGCGCAGTTCTCGAAGCACCGCAGGTGGGAGGGGCAGCTCCTCACCTGTCGGGCAAACAGAAACCCAGGAAGTCGTGCTAAGAAGAGGGCTAAGACAAATGTCGGTGCAGTGAGGACCTTGTGGTCACTTCTACGTTTGGCTCATCACCGCTCTTTCCTGGATTTGCGTCTCAATTAATCCGATGTACTTAATAAAATACGTTTAGATTCACTCTTGGCACTCAGCAGAACAAATGAGACTATGACACGCGTGCATCATCATGCATCATCTAGTAGTCTCCCCCAGAACAAAGAGGTGACACTTGCAAGATTAGTTGGGAACTGGTAGTAACTGGCATCCCTCTCACCACCAGCTGAGATCTGCTGCTTGGGAGCGCCTTCTTCTGAGCGGCTCAGGGGGCGCTTCTCTAGGTCGTCCGCCCTGCTGCCATCACCCGAAGTTCGGCGGCAGATCCAGACGCTGGGGTCTCTTGAAAGTGAGCTGCCCAAGAATCAACACTGATGTGTCATGCACCTTCTTCCCTTCTCAAATGTGCAGTCGTTGCGAAAGTACAAGTACAGTAATCATAAGCAATATAGGAGAATAGAACAGTTGGGTTTTTGTTGCTTTTGAGTCGCCCGAATATGAGATGGGTCCAGCAATGGAACACTGGAACAGCTGCCTGGGGGGTTCAAAGGGCTTCGCCAGAAAAGAGACGTCATCTGCATCTGCTTCGGCATCGAAGTTCTCATTCAAACCTCAGCTTCAAGCACCTGCATTCCGATTTCAAGCAAAATAAGTTCATGCCTGCAAATGCCCTCACCATTCTCCGCGTGTGTCGAAACGCTTTTGAATCAGTGAATCACCATTGGCAAGGCGAAACAATAAGCTACTAGGAACAAGTGCATCGCTACTAATAACAAGTGCCTTACTAGTAGTAACAAGAAGCTAGTAGAAACAAGAATTAGCCTATCTCCACCCCCGACGTCCGACGACCGCGTCCAACAGCGGCCCCGCTGCGGAGATCCGAGGGAGGCCCGAAGACGGCCAAGCCGTCCTGGTGGGCGGAAGCGCCAAGCGCGTTGGCCGTAAAGCCGCGGGAGAAAAGCCAAACCGAAAGAGTCAGCAGCAAAATGTGCTTGTTTTCTAACAGCATCCATGAGACATGAGAACTGTATATATGGTGTAAAGACTGTAAAGATGGTTTTTATTGTTTTGTGATTTAAAATAGCGATGAAGTAGATTGGTAAATTTGACTGAAGAGCCAAACAATAAGAGTTGCTTGTGCAAAATCCAATCCAGGTATTAGAGCCTTGGTTGAAGAAGGACCGTCAAGAGCCATCCCCAACTGCCTTTTGGCGAATTCAAGCGAGGTCAACGTGCGCACTGGCGAGATGCACATCGGATGCAGATGCAAATCGTACTGAATTTGTGTGGTCTCGTGCACATCAATTGATGGCTCGAGAACATGTACATAAAAAGGAAAGCAAACATTCGTGGGTGGAGGGTCATCTTCAAAGATTCTGGGCTATGATTGCTAGATTGGCTTGTCTTGACACTACCATCTTCTACCGGTTTGTGACATCCACAGCAGCAACCTGGGCACCTTGGGCACCCTCAATGGAGTCCCCGAAAGAACTGGAAACTGGCGCTCAGGAGTACAAGGTTCCTGGGCCAGGCATTGCAAGTAAGCGGAGAGTAGAACTGAGTAGGAGAACAGGGTCTAGATTATTGAAAAAAGAAAACGGGTGGCACGAGATGGCTGGTCGGCACATCGCTGGACAAGGAGAAAGAAAGCAAACATGATGAGCTCAGCTTTGCATTGGTGACATGCACTTGTCAAGCTGGCAAACAGGACAAAATCTGACACCCCCTGAAACATCAGCTCAATGCGCAAGAAAACACCAGTAAAGGCATGAAGTCACTTCTGCGGTGAGAAAGTACTACCTACAGTCGCACACATCTGGATGTTGCAAGCCACCTGCTGGGCATACTGGCTCCAAAAAGGGGATCCTTCTTAGGGTACCGTGGCTGTATTGGATCAAAGCCTGGACTCCCCAGGCAGCCCAGGCAATCGGTGGACCATCTCCAATCCTCATGTGAATGTTGAATTCCACACCCTTTTGGCCCGCAAGCTGGCCCCCCCAAGGCTCCTCAAAGACCCCCTTAGAGCTTCTCTGCCCCCAATCCGGTCCTGAAAAGGGTAAATGCCTTGGCGTCAGCTGGGGCTGCATCAAGCCATTGGGAGGCGTCAAGCCCAAAGCATTGCTCGAACGGAGGCTGGAAGATATGGGCCTGCGAATGAGGCAAAGCTCTGGAAGGGAAAAAAACACTGGGAGCTGTACAAAACACAAGTGATCACGGAATGCCCCTGCATTGTTCAGGAAACCCTGTATCACTGCTTCCGCTACACTGACTTCGAACCTATCCTTTCCTGCAGTGTTTCCCTCTCTATGGCACCAAGCCAAATGAACTACTACGCCAAGACTCCAGGTGCCCACAGCTGCGGGTTCCTGCCACGCAGCAGGCAGTTGGACGCTCGGAAAGGGACCGAGATTTGACAGATTCCATGGCTCCGATAAACCCATCATCGCTGACCGCTCTGCTGGCCGTTCTGGGCTATGATGTCGAGGGCTTGCTTCAGTGCTGCACTGCGTGAGGCGAGCGCTACTGGGCAAAGACATCTCCTCCTTCCGTCGCGGTGACGTTCGCCGGGAGGCCCGGCGCCCACTGTTGATGGGCAGCTGCAAGCGGGGTACTGGTGGCACCGGCTGTTCCAGTGCTGTAGGCTCCAGTGGTTGGAAGGCCTGGCAGGCCCCCATCTCCTCCTGCTTGACAACTGTTGAGTACTCATCTCGCCAACAAGGAGCTGCACACTCGACCTGGGCTCATGTTTGTCAGGTTTGTCATTTACCGTCACACAACATCCCGGAAATGTTGCCATTGTCGTGACATCCCCGACATGTCCAAGAAGTTGTTCTAACCTCTCAAAAAATCAAACTCTTAGAAGTGGTTTGCTAGACACGTTTAGAATCGTTTAGATATCTTTCCGGGTTTCCCCCCCAACGAAACAGCCCAAAAAACGAAACGTGCTCTCTTGGCCAAAAAAGGACCGGCTTCCGGTTCGGCCCGGTGCGGAGCTCGCTGAGCACCTGGGGCTCCAAAAAACCAGAGCCGGCGGGCGAGAAGCCGCGCGCCGTCACGGTGACCAGGGGGGACGCGCCGGCGGAGTGCCCCATCAGGGTCCGAGGATAGCTACCTGACTGATGGGCAGAAGGCGGTGGAAGATGGTGAGATCTTTTTCGGATGGTTTCTGGGTAGAGGCATGAAGGTTTTTTGGGGTGGGAGCCCTGAGCTGTCCCAGTGATAGTTTTCAGGGACAGGGTGTGTGACAAATTTGCATGGCGGCAGTGTCGAGTGCTGCAAAGAAACGTATAGTATCCCGGCAAGAGGCCCAAACAGTGTGTCTCAAGGTCTAAGGCCTAGAGGCGTGGAAGCAGGTCTAGAGATCTTGAAGCATGAGGTGATGGTGATGAAGGTGGTGATCGTGGTGATGGGGGTGATGTGATGGTGGTGGTGGTGGTGGTGGTGGTGGTGGTGGTGGTGGTGGTGGTGGTGGTGTGAAAGTTTGCCACCATGGCCCTTCTAAGCCAACCTAGTTTCC